GGCTTACTAACTATGTGACAAGAGCCATTACAAATTCATCCGAGCTAGTCATTAACTTTCCCACGGGAACAATGTTCATACTTTGAGTGAAATTGACATCTAACTGTTTAGAACATATCTTTATACAATACGTCATTTGATAGATGAAAACTTTGACTTTTTATTGGTTATAGATAATATATAATGGAACTTAAGAGTGAACTATCAATGAATTCTGAAAGAGAGGATGTGACAGGTGGGTGTAGCAGGAGGGTCTGATTTTCTGTTTGATAGCTCTGTAACCAAACAGAATTGAAGACTATCAAAATTATGATTTGTTTGAGCAATAACGATTTTACAGAGAGTAATTTACATTTAATTTCCTACTTTTTTGAGGTGTGGTGGATAAAAATAGGGATAATGACATGCTAAGGGAAAATGTGTCATGTGAGTCACACTAGTGGAAATTATGGATTTTTATTATATTGCCTTGTAGAATTATGAACTTAACTAAAACTTGTATACTATTAAAATATGCATTATTAGCTAAGATTTTATGCTATTCTAACTGGTATAACATAAACAAAAAGTAGTTTTGAATACAAAACACAAACCTTGTGTCATGAGCAGTAAAGGATACCTGTGGCGATAGGATAATCAGGAAGCAAACTCAAAATGAAACTATTACTGCACATTGTATTGCACGATGTTTGTATGCATATATGTGGGCAAGCAGGAATTTGCAACAAAAACAAATGCCAATAACATGAATATTTAGTGAGATTAATTTCTAGTATAGGTGCTTACGACAATAACACTAACCTTGCTGTCTCAACTACTTACTGATAAGATTTTGGTAGGAAGTGAAATGATCAAATTTACAAAATCAAACAGAATTTTCATCATTAATCATTACAGTTGGAACACTGCCCCCCCCCCTTTTGGTTATGCATGAATAGGCCTATAGCTAATGTCTGGGTAATATGGAAGGTCCAGCCGTTATGAGAAACGTGGGAAAATCCATGAATGAAACAGAACATAATAGTTATAATTGCAAATAAAATTTTATGAAAGTTTTGATCGGTACGAAACAAAATAACAATAAACAAAGCTAGCTCCAGGAAATAAGGTGTCAAAAATTAGTTGAATAAAGATGCAAAATTTATGTAATTGGGTCTTTTTTATGGTCTTTATACATAAATATTGTCATAATTGGATGTTTTTTTTAGGGTTTTTTTTTTTTGACAACCAATACAGCATCCCAGACAACCTGGTAACTTCTTTAAAATCGAGCCCTGAAAAAGACTAACTTGCTTGTTTGCTTATTCTTGTGATTGACTGTAAAGCTAACACTAGAACTGGCAGGGTTTCACTCATACCTTGAATTACCATATTGCTGTCATTTGAACTTGTACATTTTACAATGTCAGTATTAAAATGAAAGACAAATTATTGGATACAACTCAAAAGTGTTATTTCGAAGCATCATTTCAAATGTAATTACAGCCAGAACACTATATTAAAGTGAACAATTGTTAGTTAGTTGCAGGTATAAATAACTATAGGTACATATAATACTTTAAATACTAACTATTAGGTAAATTATTCTATACTGTATATGTTCATTAAAAACTGAAGGAAATTACATGACTCTCATTATAAAGTAATGTAAGTGGCACAATTCACACAGGTGAAATGCTTTTCAACTTTAACTGTGCATTTATCACACACACACACACATCTTTCACACGGTACATTTATCTGAAGTTCTGTTTTTATTGCATTTAACTACCTGACATTGTTTTCTTTTACATGTTTCACTGGATTTAAGCTGAGATGCTTTGGAGCTTTCGTCAAACATGTTTTTGTCAGAGCTCTTAGGCTAACTTCAAGGTGACATTCCTCTCACCTATATTTCCTCCAGTGCATTCCTTGTACAAAACAAAGGAATTGATGGCTGCCAGGTCCAGGACATTTTAAAATACAGCGACTAGTCACTGATGAGAACCAGCTTCTACTGAGTACTGATGTTACATCTGGTCTGCAACATCCACTTGTACTTTGTCTGATTGTAGAAAATGCAGTCCCTAGTATTTTCTTTTCATTAGTGTCAATGCCAACTGACATGTGAAGAGAGCTGAGAAGGCAAACATTCTTCCTCAGATTGCACTTGTAAACAGTCAACATAGCAAAGTCACTGTGTTTCAACTTTTAACTATATTTTTAGTTTAGCTCAACCTGAAATATAACACTTATTGCAAAAAAAACAAAAAACGTGTAGTTGTACTGTTAGCACAGTCAAACTGGCCCCATTATTAACTTGAAATAGCAAAGTGTTTCAAAACCTGGTGGTTTGTACAATTTATAGTTCCTTGGTGGCATCAGATACAGATACTTTCTTTCATAAGCTGAGTAAATTGTCTTCTCTGCTTTTTTGTAAGTGACTTTAGAATGAACATAACCTTCATCCATGAAGAATAACAAAGGAATTATTAAATGCTCCTTTAGCTCAATACACTTTGAGTTTTGAAGTTGAAGTATGTGCACAGCTTTGGTTAAATTGCACTTCGTGTCATGGGTACTGCTTTACTTAAGCTTTAGCTGCACTCTGATTTCTGTGTATGTGAGAGTGTGCATGTGTCTGTCAGTCATGTCTTGAAATAACTAGAACCTGATAGATGTAATTTTATATTAATGTAATATACATGCACTTGCTGTTGTATTGCTTGTGCAATTCATTTACCCAAATTTTGTATTTTTATGGTAATTTAGACAACAAAAATGCCACATGGAAAACTTTATTCCAGTCATTTCCATGAACTTTTATGTTGGTTTCAGCCATTGCCAAATGACCAATTTCACTGTTTTTGTGGTATTTGTCAAAATATTGGTATTATCGTGGCAAATAGCAACTCTTGAAACATGCACAGGAAGATAAACACAAAGAACTGGCTAAGGTGAAAGCTAGTTCTAATCACTGAAACTCTCATACAGATCAGATTAGATACGTGTGTAATTGTATAAAAACATGTTAGTAAGTTCCTTATGAAATCTAAATTATCCTTAATAAAGGCCCTACTTTTTGAAAAATGTTGCCATACTAAAGTCCCTACTTTTCCTGAGGAGCTTGTTGGAAGACCTGCAGTATGCATTGTACTTTTGTTGTGCAAAGCTCACCCCAACATAGAATTTATACAAGCATATAGTACTTATATTAAGTGTCATTTCCTAATAACATTAAAACATGCTTTAAGAGAAAGGTACAAAATTAATGTTCCAAAATTTTAAAAGCATACTTTTTAATTGAGCAGTTCTTTACATTTCTAGGATTTAAAGTGATAGATCCAGTATCTCCAACAATTGTTAATGAATTAGGTGAATGTGATGTTTTATCTATAACAATAGCTTTAATGAGAAACTATTGTTATATTAGAAATTATACTAATAGTTTCATGATAAGAATTCAGAGAATGTGATATGTTATTACTTTGATTTTTGAATCTGATTTTTATAACAAAAATTCACTGATTGAGGGTATTTGAGACATTTATAGTAAAATGAAGTGTGACATAAGGTGTCGTGATGCAACCGTATATTAAATTATATATTTTTTTCAGTGATTTTTATTTATTATGCTTTATATTGTTTATTTCCCTAAAAATTCTTTGTTATGTAGAAGTGAAAAATTTATACTAAGATTTAGCAACAAGGGTCACTATTATTACAAACTGTGTTTTTAGTATATTTTTATCATTGAGATGTTAAATTTGGATGTGTGTTATAAAGATTGTTTTGTATTTCATTAAATTTTCTAGTGGTGTTGTTGGAAATATTAAAGGAGGATTATCAGGGCTTTCAGCAGTGACTCATACTGCTGCAGAGTAAGTTTGTTTGTTTAGTTTGCACACTGCACACTGATAAGGCTGATTCCAGGGAAAGCAGATAATTGTAATGTAACTATACCAGCTAGCGTTCCATAATTTTTCACATATAATACACCTTTTTTTGCTAAACATTTATCTAGAAGTTAAGGTGTATAATATAAGTATTTTTGTTTTATGGCCAGTGTAGATCACATTTTCTGACTCCTATTGTAAATGAGAATGCATACGTATTAGAAATGTCTTATTAATTCTTTCTGTTTCTAAGACGTAATTGAAAATTATCTCCTGTTATCATTCATATTTGGTATTTTACATATGATTTTTAAAAGAAAATGATCAAGAAGCTAAGTCTTGTAATTTTTAAGATTTATTTACATGCACACTTATGAAATATTTGGAAATGAAAAAAAAAACTAGTTAATGCTATGTTAAGTTTGATATTCAAAACAACAAATCGTTTTTGATGAAACTTTCAAATTCTGAGTCTGAATCACTGTCCTTAAGTAATTGGCACAATTTCTCTACTGTCTTTTTGTCACTTTAAATGTCATCACCACCATCATTATCTACTGTAGCATCATCACTCTAGAGGATGTTGTCTTCTGAGGCAACACTTAAAACCACACTGAATCAAGGCTGGATCAGTACCATCCCAGGCTTTGTTTATCTGAGCAATAGGTCTGGTTTCTTCTAGTTACCTGACAGTGAAATGCATAAACTCTAGAGTAGAGCCACTTGTTCCTCTTTTGGTGCATTTCATGTTTCAGTGGTCCATCAGCTGATGCCATCACTTGCAACTAGCCTTCCCTGGGAATGATGACAAAGTCAAAGTGATTCTCATCTCGGGTATCCTTGATGCATATCATTTTATGACTTCTGAAAGCATGAAGGACCAGCGTCTTATATTCCCACAAGGGAACTCTGCAACACATGCTGCATGACCAGTCTTTGGTCAAACCTTCATTCATTCAACTTTTTTTCATATGTGCAGAACATCACACCTTTTGGCCATGTGACATTCTTTGGGAGAATTTTTTGTTTTGAATATAATATATGATGGCATCTTTTTCCCATTTCTTTATACTTGAGCATGATGGTGAAATGATTCTTCTTGTTGTCAGTTGATCTTAAAGTGATTGATAGCCATAGCTTGACTGAATGGAACATCAATCTGTACGTACTCCATTGTAGCAAAGCTGTTTCAGAGGGCCATAACTAATGATCATTGGCTGTAAATGTCTTTTTAAGAATGTTTACTTATCAGCTGCTATTACAAACATAGCAAGCATTATGGTGAGCTTGCTTTTAGCAATTTTAGAGATACACTAACATTTTGACAATGTTTATTTACTGGCTGCAATTGTAAAGATAGGAAGCACTATTGTGAACAAACAATTTGAGATTATATGGACACTAACATTCTTGTCATCAAAGAGTTACTTTGATCACAGTATTGTAAACGTCTAGGTTCGTGTTATGTATGGTGATAAGACAAATTTGACTTTGTTCATGAAGATTAGAGTGGATATTATATTTGGAAAATTATGGGATATTGATGATATGCATTTTGTTTCAAACATTTTTTGTGTATGCAAAAGGTTTTGAAATTCAAATAAATATGTCTGTCTATAACAATACTTTTAATGAAAAGCTTTTTTTATATTCTACATTTTATTAAAAATTTTTGTCATAAGAATACAGTGAATGTGATACCATGTGTTATTATTTTGATTCTTGAATTATTTTAGTAAAAATCTTGGTTTTATACAAAAGTTCAATGATTTATTTATCCTTTAGGTATTTATTGTATGTTATAGTTACATAGCTTTTATTCTGATTAAATCTTTTGTCACTTTTTAGGCATCATGGTATGTTAAATCCAGCAGAAACCATAACTTCCAAAGATTTGTAATCCAAGATAGTCACCATAATTAAAACAAAATTGTTTAAATGTAATTATGTTGCTTTCATTTTAAACACTGAGTCATCTTTTGTTTCTGTTGCTTCAGTTATTGTAATTTAAATTTTTTTCTTTTTTTTCTTAAAAGAACTGTGATGTCAAAACCTCGTGAATTTGCTCACCTGATAAAAAATCGTTTTGGTAGTGCAGACAACATCAACACTTTAGGAAGTAAGTTGGTAGAATTTCTTGATTTTTAGTAGTTATTCATTTGTGTGCCATTTAAGAAAAATGACCAAAAAAGAAGATGATGTTAATTCTAAATATTTTGAAAAACTGATGAAACAGGTTGTGAAATTGGGCATTCTGTAACCAATACACCAATTGTACCACTGAATTCTGTAGTGTGACACTGGTGGTTACGAGGTAGAATATTAACAAATAAATTTTATTATCACTTTATATGAAACAGTCATTTGATGTTTTAATGACACAATTGTTCTCAATAGAAATAGTAACTCTTTGAATACATTAGACTATTTTTAATCTATTTGTCTGAAGTTCCCAATTTGTAGTTTTTTTGGTAAATAAAGGAGAGAAATGTAATTTTTATTTTTTTTATATAATTGGTGAAGCTAGTGCCAGAAATATATTCAGTAACAATTAAAAGTAATAAGCAGTAAAACCATCATAGACATGGTTTACAAAGTCAGTAGTAGAAACCTCGGTAACTTTATGGTGTTTATGAGGTTGATCAAATTAACCGACCCTGTATAGAGTTAGGACAGAGAAAACAAATAAAATACAATGTTTTACTGAAGATACATATTTAGGAGATTTTAGTAATTATGCAAATGAAATTTGACAATTTTAAAACTAAAAAAATTATTTGTAATCTCAACATGAAAATCACTTTGTACTTGGAGCAGTCAACTCTTTGACTCTATATGCTCATAAAAATGCTTCATTCAAAATTCTGATTTCTTGTCTACAAAACTTATAATGTTTTATTGAAAGCATGCAAAATTTTGTGAAGATACACAAAACATACTAGATGTTATAGTGTAGAAACTCTAAAGATCATTTGGGGTGATGAGCTTGGAATTCAGCCAGACTGACCGAGCCCATAGCGAGATAGTTAACGAATTAAAAAAAATATTACTTTTGTACCTAAGTTTAAATATATACTATGAAAAGATAAGCATTGGCAATTATTGAAAGGAATTGATACTTGGTCTAGTGTTTGAATATATACTGTTAAAAGAAAAAATTAGCACTTCTTGAAAAGAATTAATACTCCATGTAGTGTTTAAATATATATTGTGAAGTGATAAAAATTATCACTTGAAAGGAATGGATACTTGGTTTAATGTTAGTATGGTCAATATTAGTATATACTAATTAGTATATGTGTAGTATAGTCAGATTGCCAAATAGTGTTTTCCAGGTAGAACTTTTAAATTTTAATATGGTATCAGTTTTCTTGAAGATAGTAAAGTAAGAAAAGAGTAGAAGTATTATACAATCAAAAACAACAGTAGCATGTGTTAGAATATAACTTAAATCATGGGTTAACACTTTAAATAAATGTAGATTAATATTATATAGCATACTGGTAAAAGTACCTGACAATGCTAGGCTTAAAAGATATTGCTACAAATGGGGTATGGAACGTCCTCTTCCACTGTTTTAAACCATTTGTCCAATGCAAAGTTACCCATGCTGTTTTTGGCATTAAATGTCACTGTTTTTTGACATTGGTTTACATATTTTGTTACTGACCTTCACACTCAGTTGAATCCTCATGGCGGCACTAACACAGTAATGTTGAAATGGCTGCCAGCTTGAACTATTCATCTGATTATTTATAAAGTTAAAAGGGATCTTTTGGATGATTCATCTGAGTTCCGCTACCAAATTTCATCAAAATTTTTTCAGCCATTTCCTCACAACAATTTGTGGCACTGGACAGACAGACAACTTGCATTTATATATGAAGATAAGATAGAGCCTACATTAAATGAAATTATTGTGAAGTACACAAAAAAAAGAGTATGTCATATGAAATTTAGGAATAATTTTTTTAACATTTTGTGTTTCCTAAAAATCCTGCAAATGTTCCCACTGACAAGTCTTATTGAAAACATTATCTGCATCCCTCTACAGAGATATCTGATGAAAGAGTAGGAGAAGGAGAGAAACACCTTCACGGGAGTGAAACATTTACCCCTAGGTGAGTTTCAGTAAATCTTGGTAGGAGTCAGCCAAGTCTGGATAAGTAATCAGAATATTAGATGAACAGATTACAAAATGTTTTAGGTTTTCTTTTTCACCCCCACCCCCCATAAAGTTTCCACATTTTGTTGCTGTCTGAGCTTGCAAATATGAACTTTCAAATGGGCCTTTGTATTTAGAATTACACAATCTACTCAAAACTGAGAAATCTAAAAAATGGTGATATTATGTAAGTAAGATTTTCAAACAAAATTAGAATATTCTCAATTTCACAAGTATTCAACCCCTTTGTTACAGCAACCCTAAATCAGTTCAGGTGCAAAAGATTAGGTTGAAAGGTCACAAAATTAGTGTAATGGCCTCTGTCTGTGTGTAATCAAAGTGGTTTAACTTGACTTCAGAGTAAATGCACAACTCACATGATGATATGACAAACCAACTATGAAGGAGCTTTCCAAACAAGTCGGGGATAAAGTGGTAGAGAAGCACAGATCGGAAGAAGGTTACAAGAAAAGCAAGCAGGAAACTGGTTAGGGATGCCACTGTGAAGCCAGTAGTGACTTTGAAAGATTTGCAAAGCTCTGCTTTTGAGACAGGAGTCAGTATTTATACATCGACAATATCCCGGTCTCTACACTAAGCTGGCCTGTATGGGCAAGTGGCAAAGAAGCCATTACTGAAAAAGAATCGTCTTAAATCTCGTATGTAGTTTGCGACAAAGCATGTAAATGATACTGCAGGCATGTGGCAGAAGGTTTTGTGGCCAGACAAGACAAAAATTGAGCTTTTTGGTCTAAATTCAAAGCATCACGTCTGGTGCAAGCCCAACACAGCACATCACTCAGTCAACACCATCCCAATAGTCAAGCATGGTGATGGCAGCATCTTGTTATGGGGATGCTTCTTATCAGTAGAAACTGGAAAGCTTGTCAGGATTGAGGGGAAGATGGATGGTGCAAAGTACAGGCGAATCCTAGAGGAAAACCTGCTTGAGTTATCCAAGAATTTAAAACTGGGTCAAAAATTCACATTTCAGCAGGACAATGAACCAAAACACAAGACCAAAGTCACACTAAAATGATTTCAAAAGAAGAATGTGAATGTCCTGGAGCAGCCCGGTGAAAGTCCTGACTTGAATCCAATAGAAAATTTATTGTGAGACTTGAACATTGCAGTCCATCAACGATCCCCAACAAACTCGTCAGAATTGGAGCAATTTTGCCAGGAAGAATGGACAAACATTACACAATCCCATTGTGCAAAGCTGGTAGAGACCTATCCAAAAAGAAACGCAGCAAAAGGTACTTCCACCAAGTTCTGGCTTAGGAGGCTGAATACTTATGAAATCAGCAAG